ACCATAGAGAACTACACCTAAACAGCACGGCAGAAGGATGACCCGAGTGCTCCTCCAAGATTGCCACGTGAGACTTCGTAAGTACCGTCAAAGGATTCACCAAGAAAAGACCAGATGCTGTGAGTTCATGGGTGAGATCAGTAGGAATCTGCTTTTACGGAGGATAGCTGAACAAGCCCGCGAACAGAGCATGATACGCGACTCAGCACTGGAGAACAAATTTCGAAAGCCGCCCAGTCCAAAGTCGCCCAGAAACGACAAACGGGTGCACAACCTGCCATCAAAGGGGCTGACGAAGGATCAGATGCAGGTTTTACGGCACGAAGCTTCATTTAACATGGCTGACACCAAACCTGTTAACATGATTGCAGCAGTGGAATCCATCCTTTTTCAGACGGAGGCAACGGAGGAGACTAAGAACCTCATCCGACACCAAGTGTCGTCTCTCCTGATGGCCCACAGGCAGCGGGAAGTGCTTTCCAAGCTCGAACGTGGTGCGCTTAGAGAACTCAAGGCCGACAAAGACCTGGTCATCGTGCCAGCGGACAAAGGACGCGCCACCGTTGTACTAGACAAACCAGACTACCTACAAAAAGCCAAAGGTTTACTGGAGGACCGACAGTTCTATGTCCCATGTGCAACGAACCCTTTAAAGGCGCTGATACGCGAAATTAATGCTACGTTGTTGGCCTTGGAGAACTCAGGTGCAATAACACCGACCGACAGACGCATGGCGAGCCCCCAAGATACGGCTTTGGCCCGATTCTATGGCCTCCCTAAGGTGCACAAAGACGGCGCTCCTCTCCGACCCATCGTGTCGCTCAAAGGGACTCCAACGTACGGACTGGCTAAGTGGCTGTTCCGGCGTCTCAAGTTCCTGACCGCTGAGTCAGACACCACGGTCTCTTCCTCAGCACAATTCCTGGAGGAACTCAAAGAGGTAAGCATCCATCCAAATGAGGTCATGGTATCTTTTGATGTTACATCCCTTTTTTCTTCTATTCCCCAGGAACTGACGATCGAGACAACTGAGCTGCTACTACAAAGCAAATATGATGAAACGGAGAACCGTCTTGGACACGCCCAAGTCCTTCAGCTCCTGAAGCTCTGTCTCAGGACGTACTTCACGTTCGACGGGACAATCTACGAACAGGTGAAGGGCATACCAATGGGTTCGCCGATTTCGGGATTCATCGCCGAGGCGGTTAGAGTCGTTGGTCTTCCAACTCCAGAGACCGAAATTCTGGGCCCGGTATGCGGGTGATACCTTCGTCGTCATCGAACGGGATCAGGTGTTGACATTCCAAGAACATCTCAACGCCGTCTTCCCGGACATTCAATTTACGCTGGAGGAGGAAGAGAACAATCAGCTGGCCTTCCTGGATGTCCTCGTATGCCGCAAAGATTGTGGTGAACTAAAAACCAAAGTGTTCAGGAAAGCGACAAATACGATGCAAATACTGAACTTCAACAGTAACCACCCAATCAGCCACAAACGCAGTTGTGTAAGGACGCTCTATCGGCGTGTCGAAACGCACTGCAGTGAGCCGGAAGACAAGATTGCCGAACTGCAATACCTCCGACGGGTCTTCAAAGCCAGTGGCTACTCGCGCAACTTCGTCAACCGGTGCATACGCAAAAGGGACGAAAGGCCTAACCGCACGGACACCAAAGTTTGGCGAGCGCTTCCATATGTCAAGAACGTTTCGGAAGCTGTCGGCCGCCTTCTCGCGCCACTTGGGGTTGGAGTTACACACAGACCGGAGGCAACCATCAGGCGTTTGGCCATGAAACTGCCACGGCTAGAAACGTCTGGAGTCGTTTATTGGATCTGGTGCAGTTGCGGACAAAGCAACTACGTCGGAGAAACCGGAAGACAGCTCCGAACGAGAATGGCCGAACACGCGGCAGCGGTGCGCAGAAATGACGCCAGCTCTCAAGTTGCGGCTCATTCGACGAGATCCGGCCACACATTCAAATTCGATGAGGCCGAAATTCTCGCAAGAGGTGACAACCGAGTGAGCCGGGAGCTACTGGAATCATGGTTTACTGGCCCCCAGTCCATCAACAAGTGCAACGATCTTCACATTCCATACTCCGTACTGAAACTTCGCCTAGGCGGAGTATCAAGCCATGCGGGGAGGGCAGAGGTGAACACTTTCCCCAACACCGGGGTCGGTGCGTCAGATGGTCGAGCAATCATCACGCCAACATCCAACGCACGCGATGAAATGGCAGCAATTATCGACTCGGATGTCGGCCATCAAGCAATGATCACACCAAGTGTGACAATCCCGGATGAAGGGGAGAGCCGTGAATGTTCATAGGTATGCGGTAGCATGGCTACTGCATCCTATAAATACCGCATCACCTTGTGCAATGACCACCCGTTTCTGCTTTTTTGTCTCTGATGATGGATTCGAGTAGGAAACCGAAACGTCAGGCTAATAAAGCTCTTGTCCCGGCGATCGTGTCTCCTTCTTCAAGACCACTTCCTCAGACTCGTCTCTTCGCTTCTATAGGGTCGAATGTGTCCAGCACTCGCTCGTAGATCATCCATCCCACCATAATTACTGTTTGTAACACGTATGCTGAATTTTATGCCCTAAAGATCACCAATGGGAATGAAACGTCAGTGATGGAACATAGCTGGTGATGTCTTGCACAGAGTTCCCAGCACTCTAGTTTTGCGATAAGAAAACCGCAGGAATGAGCTGAAAGGATGCAGTCTACATTCGTACAGCGCGACGCCCTTCTGATCGTTCCAAAACTTGAAATACCAGTTCCATTTTGTCAGCCTCCTCGAGACAGTTATGTTCCACACCAGTTTGCCGAAGACACACACCGACTACGCAGCGTACAGTGGAGCTACTTCTGCGAAAACTGTTTGGAACCCTGGGCATGACACTTAAATGTGGGATCTAAGAATCACTAGCTTGTTTTTCCCTTCCGTCTCTCCTACGACATCGACTCCAGTGTCGACGGCTTTACGAGCACGCAAATACCGACCGCGCTCATCATTGTTGACTCATTCGATTCGGTACTACAGGCTCAATACATAATGCATGATTACCCTCGTCGTCGTCGATTGACGGCGAAACCTGAGTGAAGTTGAGGGAGTTGGCGCACCAGCCTTTCGGACCGTAGGGTCAGAGATAAACTCAGGGTCAGATTTCACCATGTCCACCCCGTTCCAGATGCCCGCCTCGATTTCGTTCTTTCGAGTTCAGGAGAGGTGGAAACCCATACGACTTTGCCATCATGTTGACAGAGCGCTGGGTGGGTAGGTAGGGTACACCCGACGGGTTGAATTCCTGACCAAGTGCAGTCATTCGTTAGAAAGGGGACGCAGAAACTGATCAACTACGTTCTCAAATACACAGTGCTGGCTTCCATTTAATGCAAACTATTTTGTGAGTTCGGTGTAACGCTAAAGGGCTGCTAGCAAATGGCAACTGAACGAGACCTCTGCTGCAGCATCTCTCATCTGACTGTGCGTCACCACTCGGACTCCAGGAAGGTCTAAAGTGGAGATTGGGAGCTGAAAACAACGAAGGCCTGAAGGGCAATCTGGAGTATTATATCCCATTCCGTGTCAAAATTGTCCTTGTAGCTACACAGGGCAGACTGGGCGCATGCTCGGATCGCGCATACATGAACACAAGCAGGCTGTGTGGCGAGGCGACGCATTACCAGAAGTGGCCGCCCACCCCTACGAAACGCATCACGAGTTTAACCTCGCAGCCACCAGAATAGTCGTTCACGCCGGAAACAAGAAGAGCCGAGAATTGATTGAAGCCTGAGCCTCGGATGTGAACTCGATCAATCGATCTGGCGCCGGCGTACAGCGCCCTGCGCAGTCATCTCCAGTCTTGCACCGTCGGTCGATGATTTGCCTACATGCCTTGTAACTTTCGCTTGTGCTGTTGCTGCTACTACCTCTGACGATGGACTCCTGCACGAGTCTGAGAGCTCAGGACAATAAACGAAGTGTTCCGGTGCTCGACCCTTCTTCACTCAACGAAAGTTGCTAAAATGTTATTTTAGTGCTCCAAAATACACCAGTTTGTCTAGTGGAACCGAGAGCGGCGTTCCTCAAGATGGCTCAGAAATTGGAGTGCACAGGCATTAATCCGGTACGCATCGTATACGAGATCTTTGGCAACCACTTTAATGGCTGGCAGACCTATAGGCAAGTACAAGAGGGAATCGCGGCAGGGCGTGCATTCACTCAACACAAGCCCCGCTGAGGGTTCTGGAGCGTCGTCATTTCGAGCAGAAGACAACCGCATGTTCCTCTGATTCCACTGTACCCTCGAGTCAGTCAACGATGTACTGTCTAAAATTTCATGGGAATAATTGCATATCCCCGGAAGTCATAAACAGGATCAAGGAATATAGGCCCAGGTTTTGTCTAGGCGACTGTATTAGCCTACGTGAGAACTCTTTCGGGGATGCCCAATCTCTACGCTTGACCACGGGGTCAAAAAGTAAGGCAAGTTCGATTTAAAAATTACCATGAGAAGCGGCCCCCATATCCCCCTTGCCCTCCTGAATGGCTGGGGGCAATAAAAGGTTTAGTCCACTTCGTTTCTTCTACACTAACGACAGGCCGAGGTCAGGAGGGA